ATAGCTCTTGTTCGGCTCGTTCGGTAAGTTAACGAGCCGAACACGAACAACGAGAACAAATATTTGTTTGTTCGTGTTCGGCTCGTTTTGGCTCAAAATACCACTAATCAATCAATTATATATATATCTTTGATGAGTAGCATTTTTTAAAAAAATTAATTGACTATAAGGCTACAAAGATTTATAATCAATTAAAAATATTAATGAAGAAAATAAAATAAAAAATTATTAAATTAGATTCAAATGATGTTTTAAATTTCGCCCAAATCTTTAACATCTTATGACTACGTGAAAAGGGTTGTCAAAATGATTTTTTGTTTGTGAACGGCTTATGTTTCGGCTCTCTAAGCAAACGAGCCGAACACGAACACACTTTCTGAGCTCGAAATATAAACGAGCCGAACACGAGCTGAGTGTTCGACTCTTTTACACCCCTATCCACCAGCTAGTTGGGTAAGTGCAGATGTAGTAGTTCGACCTGAGTCGATAGTTACAGCCAGAGAATGAAACCTTCAGAGATTGTTTTCAGCAGTCAGTAGAAAAAAACCATCTCCAAATATCTTTTTGATATGAAATAAGCAGAAAGAAAGCCTTCCTTCCCAAAGCAGAAGTTTCAGATAATTAGAATAGTATCAGAATAATCAAAATTATATAAGCCCAACAGCTGAAGTGAGAAACAATTTCAATCAAATTAGAAAGATTATCATCAGTTCGAGAGACTAAGAGAATCGATCAGCTCAGGAACCAACTTGCAACAATCATGATAATCCTGTCCAAGAAAAAAGAAATAAGATTTCTAAAACGGTTGAAGTATCATGAATCTTTGAATAACATTATTGCTTGGATCAAGAGTAGTAATTGAAAAACCTTCCAGTTAATAAAAAGAATAATATATGAACATAAGTCAATGATCTGCCAGCAATCAATAACTGATCCAAAATAAAGCCCTCAATCTAATCTCCATCCAACATATAGAATCCCTCAACCAATCAACAAAAACTTCAGCCAGGAACAACATCTAAAACCATTAGATCTTAAAAAACAACAGAATAGAGCTAGGAATGGTTTTCTTAAACTTCTGTCTCCTACTTTCTTTGATAATCAGCGAATGAATATTTTGTATTAAAACATCAAATGGTGTATAGGACTTATAAAATCCTATTGTTCCTTTCAAGCCAATTGTGAAATTAAGTGGCTTGGATTGCAATCAAATAGAATCTCTTGTAAATTTTACAAGAAATGGAATCAACCTAAGAAAAGAATTGAGAGATTTTAATGCCATAAAAAAAGACCACGTCGCCTGTCACCAGTCGCCAGTCGCCCGTAATGTAATTTTTGAGAAGAAACCTTGAAAAAGTACATTCAAAGAAGTGGTGCTTGTGAGATTCCAATACATTAATATAGAGAACATATTTAGCATCAACCATACGTCGCCCGTCGCCCGGAATATAATTTTTGAGAAGAAACTTGGAAAAAGTACATTCAAAGAAGTGGTGATTGTGAGATTCCAAAACATTAATATAGAGAACATATTTAGCATCAACCATAATTTCTCTAAAATTAAGCACATCATAAATGTTTAAGCCTTTATGAATACTTTTTCACGTTTGTAAAACAAGTTTGACTAAAAAACAATTAAACCAGACAAGCTATACCAATCAAAAACATAATGACTAGAAAGTAAGACATCATAAGAAGCATTATGAGAATAGGTACTATATGTCCTCCAACAACAAATTACTAACAAGCACATTTAGTAGTAAGAAAAAAGAAAAGATTATTGTTTTTTGTAACTTGAAAAGACAAGCAATTCCTTATTCTAACAACCACATTCATAATATCTTTCCAAAATAAGGAAATTCCAAATCTAGCTTTGTACCAAATTGAGCTAGTGAATATCACACCAACTAGCTAACGAGAACATGAATTATAATGCCTCCAAATTTTTTTATATTTACATAAATTATTAATATTATATAAGGAAGGAATATGAATCGCACATTTAGATTTAGGCAATATATATGTATTCTAGGAAATAGTATGATGTTTCTTCTCTAAACTATTATATTGAATAAAATGATTAATATCAGAAGAATTATACTTCCTAAGAGCTTTAGAAAGAGTATTTGAATGACACCAATAATATAGATAACTCCAAATAGTACCTTTAACTAATTAACATTTGCATACAATAAAAAGAACTTTCTTTTTCCGACCGCCAAGCCAAGAATAAAGTTTATTAACAAGATTATGACAATCAATAACTAGAAGGTTAGAAGGATTTATAGTAACTCCAAAATATTCCCAATGCAATGGTATTAAGACAAAACCAATTTCTTCACAAATATCATTTTGCAAAGAAAAATTCATTTGAAAAAGCATATAATAGATTTTGAATAACTATCCTCACCTTGATTGACAAAATTTGGGATGCTTTTTAGATTAATAATAGAGTCGATATCAATTTTACCAATGTGTGAAGATCATTTATATTGTTGACCTCATTTTTGGTCAACTTATTCCCTTGGCTAGTATATCCAACACATGTTAACATTAGACGTTTTCTTTAGTGTCCCTAGATGACGAATCAAACTCGAATAAGCTCTAACTCGAACCCCACTTGAAATAAAATTTGAGCAAACCTTAATTTATTCTAAAACTAAAATCTAACTAAATATAAATTTAAAATTTACCATACTAAAATGATACTAAATATAATTAAATGTATTCAACCATAAAATTGAACTAAAAATAAAACATCATTTTGAAATCTGCGTGATTTTTATTTTCTCATATAAACACCATACAATTTTTTTTGAAGATGACTACACATAATTTTTATGTGAAAATTTTAACTTTGATTTTTTATGCATGATCAGTGTTTCTACACTCCAAGATTATCACATTCTCCATAAAACAATGTAGTGCTCATAATTTTATTTTATAAGTTGTGTGATATACATTATCACATATGAGAATTATAGAAATCAATTTGACAATAACCAGACATCTTTTTTATGAAAAACTTTATGTTTAGGGTTTTCATCCATAAAAAAATGATTCCACATAATTTTTTTTTTATGAAAGTATTATTTTTAAAATAGATTATGCGAGTGCGTTCGGATCATGAAAACCTTTCAAATAAGCCCCGTGTGCCAAAATTGGACTTCAATTAGGGGTTCATAAGACTGTGAGATAATATGTATAATAAATTTGATAATAAAAAAGTAATCATGAAAATTTACTCAAGGATGAACTCAAATCAAAACTAAACTTCAACCAAAGTAAATCTGAGCTAAAACTCTAAGTCAAATCATTAAAACTCCTTATAAACTTTCATGCGAAATCTCCAAAAATTTCTCCTACTGTGGGGCCCATACTATGACTCCCAATCCATTTTTAATTTCTTTCCCTTCCATTATTTCAAAACTTTTGGATTGATTTCCTCTCTTTCAGGCATAATTCCTCCCTCCAAAATTCTCCCCTTTTATCTCCCTTTAGTCGGTCGAAAACCATAATTCCCTCCTTCCCTCTCTCTTGGTCGAGCCACACTCCCTCTCCTCCTTCTTCTTTCTCTCCAAGTGGTTGAAACCCTAAGGAAGCCTCCTCCTTTCATCTAAGCAAACAAAAACAAAGGATTCCACTTCATTTCTTCATCCATACAGGGAAGGTGAGATCTCTTTACTCTTTTTTTTTCTCTTGTTTTATGTTTTTTTTTGTTCTTCTTCTTTCATTTTTATTTTTTTTTCTTATACCTCTTCCATAATGAAGATTCTTTCATCTCCTCTCTCTTTCATGAAATTCACTTATCACCACCATTTATTCTCCTCACTTCTCCACTTGTGAAACCCCAACACCCACATCTCTCCCTTTCACCCTTATTTCTTCATGGCCAAACCCCTGCACCCATCTCTTCCTTTCTCCTCACTTCTCCTCAACTAAAAGCCCTATCTGATTTCCTTCACACACCCTCACTTCTCCTTAGCCAAATGTTTGTATTTTTTCTTTCCAAATGAACTAAGATTGTGTTTTTAGCCATAATTACTATCCATATTTAATTTCCCTCCCTTCCATTATTTCAAAATATTTTGAGTGATTTTTGGTGGGTGTTTTTGCTTTGGGACCACCATAAATCTCGAAAGATTCTTATCTAAATAATCAAATGTGACATTAGAAGAATAATGCACTATCTCGAAATATACAGACATTATCTTAGAATGGATTCAATCATTCAGGTAAGAGATATCTTTGAGGTCTACGAAATCAAGGTTCTTCCCTTACCCTACACATGTATGATAAGCTTTATTTTAATTCTGGGGTCTT